AGGAAGGTAACTTCTGGTTGACCGAATACGCATTTTACGGGATTGATAACGACGCCGTACATAGCCAAACGATCGAACAGGATTTTCAAATGTTTCATGTGTTGTTCTGGGGATTCCGAAGCAACTAAGATGTCGTCTATATAAGCATAGAAAAAGTCGAATCCACGGAGAACTTCGTCAATGAAACGTTGAAAAGTCTGAGCTGCGTTTCGCAGGCCGAATGTCATGAATCGGTACTCAAATAGTCCAAATGGGGTTGTAATCGCGGTTTTCGGAATATCTTCTTCCGCGACCGGAATTAGATTGAACGCGCGCACCAAGTCCACTGTAGAAAAAATTGTTTTACCGCGGAGACACTGAGAAAAGTCTTCAATATGTCGAACAGGGTAGCTATCTGGAATCGTCCTGGCATTGAGTCCACGATAATCGCCACATGGTCTCCACTCATCGCCTTTTTTTTGGCACCAAATGCAAAGGAGCTGCCCAACAGCTTGCTGAAGGTCGAGCAATTCCTAATTTGAGGAGAGTGTCGAATTCTTTCTTGGCAGCTCGGAGTTTGTCCGGAGCAAGGCGACGTGGTTTCTGAGCGACTGGTGGTCCTGGAGTTGTCACAATGTGGTGCTTGGTTTCATGTTGAATATTCTTGGGAGTCCCTTCAGGCCGGGTAATGTCTGGAAACTGGTTCAGCAGGTCATGGTATAGGGAAGAGCCCACTACAGTTTTTACAGACGGTATTTCGCTGTCTACTACTACTCCTGGAAATGTGAGTGTCGTAGTGGAATCAACTAGGCGGCCGTTGGATAGGTCAGGGAGCAGTCCATAGTGTGCAAGAAAATCTGCTCCTAGAATTGGCTTTGAAATGTCTGCGATGACGAACCTCCAGGTGAAGTCCCTCCGTAGGCCAAGGTCAAGGGTGAATGTACAGGTCCCATATGTCGATATATTGGTTCCATTGACCGCGGAAAGTACGTACGATGACTTTTCACGTGGTTCACGGGGGAGATGACGAGGGTAGACGCACAGATCTGCACCTGTATCCACCAGAAACTGTAAGTTCGTTGACCGATCGCGAACAAATAAACGGCGGGATTGAATTGGGCAATGGCTACCCGCTATTGACGATTGCCCGATTGTTTTCCGACGGCCAGCTGCATGGTTTGGTGCAACTATTTGCTTTACTGCCAAATTTTTTGTGATACCAACATACGCCGGATTGGGAACTTCCTGGTGTACGGGAGCGTGGAGGACGGGAACCGGATCGCGATCTGTTTCGCTCCAAACTGTTCAACCGTACCTCAATTGCATCTAGGCGTACGATCACTCGCTCTAGATCAATAGCAAGCTTTCGTATATCGCTGGCATAGTTGATATCAGGAGCTGATGTAGCAGAAATGGTTGAGCGTGACGATAAAATATCGTGCACGCGATCAGCGGTTTCAGCTGCTTCGCACAAGGTATTACTTGTCGAGATTGCTACGGTTGTTTGAATCTCGGTCGGCAGGCGACTTTGCCAAATGGTACGAACTAGCGATTCTGGTATAGCTGTACCTGCCAGATTCTGAAGACGTCGAAGAAACAGAGATGGTTTATCGTCGCCCATCTGTTCCTGCTGAAGGAGTTGCTTCGTCTTTTCTTCCTGTGACGTACTGAGTCGCTTAATCAAGCCTTCTTTCAGCCGCTCGTAAGAGCGATCGTCGATAGGTTGCACAATAATGTCTCTCACTTCGCTGCTGTACCGACGAGGTAACGCCTTAAGGACACTCAGGTATCGTTTGGCGTGGTCGTTAATCGACTCTGAAGTGAATTGTAATTCCACTAGAGTAAACCAAATCTCAGGATCAGCCGGGTTGAATTCAGGTAGCGACGTTGCGACCGTGAATGTAACAGGGTTGACGGCTGGTGCATTGGCTTCGTTGTTCACCATGTTGGCTACGCGTCACTTCACAAAAAATGTCACTCGCAAAAAAAATACACAATCACGTCGGGGTCACCACTTTGGCGTTTCAGTGGGGAAGAACTGAACACCTTTTTGAATATTTGCGAGGATCTTTTTGGCAGTGCCGAAAGCTGTATGGTAGCGGTTGATATGATGTATATTTACAAAATGAAAAATAGTGAATTCGTAGTCGAGGCGTCTCTGGTCAGTTAAGCTGTCGCGAACCGAGTAACCACTTCGAGTGTCGAGAAAAGACTGTCGTTCTTGAGGGTTGTTTTGAGAACGTGAGATCGGTTCGAAAACCCTAGCACGTTTCTCAGAAAAAGAGAAAACCTGGTAGTGTAACTCAAATTGAAATGAAATAATTAAGAAAATCCGAATCATTTGTTTGGTACCTCCAGATGGAATTTTATTGGGGTACGCTAAGCCTGAGAACACGATCATAAAACTGTTTCGACAAACAATATTTGAGTTTTGGGAAAGTCCACATCTGTTTTGTAATTTGTAAGCTTAGAGATCGCCTCGACTCAAAATTCGATGAAGATATATACAGGGTGTACCATTTACATGATAATAATGGATAATATTTACAATTGATATCAATAGTTATTTACAAAGTGAAATCTAAATATTATATACATATGACACAGAAATATACAGTGGAAATATGATTTCCCACAATTGTATACATATAATTTACCAATATCCACACAAACAATATTGGTGGAATATTGGGATGTCATCATTGAATAGCAGTTTTGTATTCGATATGGAATACATATATGAAATCAAGAAGTCCACGTGACGATATTGAACCTGATGTTTTATTGCAATATCCTCCAAGATACATTCTATCGATATAGGTTACATATCCAGTTGTAATATGAACTGATATCAGGCAATCAATATATCTATCATGAAGATTTATCAATATCGAGACATAAATCATCAGGATAAAGGAGGAATATAGATTTCATCACATATGTCATTATGAATATCGATACAATGTAGGATTCTCAAGATCCTGAAAAATGTAAGCCTATCAACATTGTATTCATATTGATCCGTCCAGCTCATTTATTCAATATCGTTACAATATCATCCGACCGATTTACGATATTCAAATATTGGGCCAATGCAGAGCCGATTTGCAGCCGATATTCTGTGCTACTGGGGAGAGTAGATGCCATCTTGATACAAGATTGATTATCTTCATAGATTCGTATAGGAAATATATTGATATCAAGTAATTCTGTCAACATTTGACCTAGAAATAAATTTTCAGTAATACAAGATGACAATGCAACATATTCTGATTCAGCACTTGATAGGGTGACTATATTTTGTTTTTTAGTTTTCCAGAAAATTGTATTGTTATTATGTTCTATTAAAAATCCTGTGATACTTTTTCTGTCAACAATACTATTAGCAAAATCAGAGTCAACATATGAATTCAAAGAAACTTTTAAATCATTACTTTTAGTAAATCTCAATCCAAAATGATCTGTAGACTTCAAGTATCTTAAAACACCTTTCAAATGATTCCAATGTTGAATATTGAAGCTGTTTTGAAATTGGTCAAAATAGGTTATACTGAAACTAAGATCTGGTCTAGAACCCAACATTAGGTACATGAGGCACCCAATCAATTCACGATAGGGTAGCTTTTCATCAAAATTTTCATCATCAGTTGATAATTGTAATTTAGGTTGCATAGGCAACTCAGATGATTTACAATCTATCATATTGAATTTATTCAATATTTTTCTTATTAATTCTTTTTGAGTAATATGCAATTCATTGTCAATCTTCTTTATTTCCAATCCTAGAAATAATATTTTTTCATTTGTGAACTCCTTCATTTTGAAATGTTTAGACAACTCAAATTTGACAAAATTTAATTGGTCAGGGCCTTTTGAAAACAGCATCACATCATCAACATAAACTAATGAAAATATATACTTTTTAAAATACAGACATGGATCCTTCTTGGAACGTTGGAAACCTAACTCTGTTAATTTTGAATCAAAAAGAGAATTCCAGCATTTTGGAGCCTGTTTCAAGCCATAAAGTGACTTATATAATTTACATACCAACTCAGGATTATTTCCATCAGTCCCATCAGGTTGGATCATGTATACAGGTGTGTCCAAGATTCCATAAAGGAAGGCAGAGCTAACATCTAGCTGCTGAACATATAAATCAAATTCTATAACCAAAGAAAGTAACATTCTTATTGTTACCATTCGGGCAACAGGTGCATACACATCTTCATTTAAAGAACACTGTTGAAACCCACGAGCTACAAGACGAGCCTTTTTGATCACTTTCCCATCAATAACTTTTTCACGAAACACCCACTTTGAGTCTATGATGCTAATGCTTCAACTTCTGTAGGCATATCTTCATCCAGTACTTCCAGAACACTGGATTGTTCCAGAACTAGTTTGACACGAAATTCCCAGTTAGAAAATCCTGTTCCATCAAATGGTTTCACATTTAGAATTTGCTGGTTACCTGCCGCCATCTTATAACAAGGTGATGCTTCTACCTCCAACCTTTCTGGTTTGAAATTACTTCCCTTTCACACCAAATCAATTATTCCTTCTGGGCCCATAACCTATGAATTGCTACTGTTTGGAATAAGTTTGAAATGGATTTAGGTTTCAAACAATATATTTTGTGAATATATAAAATGCACAATTTTACATTCATGTAACCTGCATCACTTATATCAACAACTACTATGGCAACCAGGATCCTATCAAAAACAAAACTAGAAGATGATTTGATTAATTTGAAAGATTCACAAAATCACAGAACTGTTTTATAGAACATGACATTGACAATATGAATATAATTTATACAGTATACAACCAACAGTGCAAGTAAGTATTACATAACTGCATAACCAACAAAACTCATATAATGTAGTTCAGGGCTCGATAGTGAATGACATACTTAGCCTTCTAGCGTAGGGTCGCCATCAATTTGGTGTGTTCGCGTACAGATTTGAGAGGCTTTCTAGCCTAAGATTGATATGTTGAGGACAAAATGGAATATCTTAATGTGCATCCTGGAGGTGTTGTGAATAATACAAATCGACTTCTGAAATATATCCTTCTTCTGTATCATCAAGAATAGCAGTGACGTCAATTTCGGTGTCAGTCCATTCAAAACCTCCATATGGTAAAGCTTGAGACATAGCCCATCCGTATTGGTTATTGACGTCATAGTACATCAAGAAGGAATCAGCTTTCGAAGGATTATGATCAGGAATATATTCATTGTTTGCATGAGCCCTTCTTTTTGAACAAGCTTGACTGAGACCCCCTCGGATGCCCTGCTCAACAAACAAAAACATGCCAGGGTCGGTGATAAGTTCCAACTCCTGATTCGTATATTTCAACATGGCATCCCAAGTGAATCCTGGCAGGGTGTAATAGTGTGCAGGGTCAAGATTGTAAGTTCTGAGGCAGCAGGTACGAAACTGTCCAAATACGTCTGCGAGAAGGAGAATATCAGTCATCATTTATAGATCCACGCACTGATCCAAATCTCGACAATTGAACTAATTCCACACAAGATTGGCACGAAGAAAGAGTCTGCGAGGGCAGGCCTCATCGTCTAATTTATTATAAAAAGCATCAATTGGAGGTAGCCGGGTTTCGCTGAAACGCTCAAACGAGTCGAAGTAATCATACGGCATTACACCTTTCTTAGTTGAAATAAAGAGTTGATCTTTGGCGACGCTACAGAATTGAGATATCAGATTGGGGAATTCGGTCGAATAAGATGCTGACTCGTCCAGAAAGGAATTCATGAAACGGAAGCTGGCGAGGAATCTGACCTGTACACAAGTTCCGTCAACATGTTTAGTAGAGGAAATGTACTTCTCCTTTGTTATAGGAAGGAGGTCGATAGTTCCTTTCATTCTAGTGACGATGTCAGTTATTACAAAGTTTGCATCGTAACCACTCAAATTATGGAATACAACAGGCATCACAGGACTGTCCTCATGATTTATATTACAAGAATCGTGAGCAGCTCCTCTGTATTCTTTTTCTGGAACCAAGTGATTATGGTTCCTCACTCTGACATCATCTAGCTCAAATTGCTGTTCACAAATATGGCAATCTGTAGCTTGTCAAAAGTCTGCTTCTTGTTCTGGTGTCATATGAATATCATGAGGACACCAACATACGCTAGTTCTATCTTCTGCCCACTGTTTCATTTCATAGGCGAAATATTCCATGCTGTCTTCACCTCGATATGAGCGATAAAAAAAACAGATGTCTCAAGAGCACTCGAGGTGATATTCAACAGCAGCAAGAATATGACGCTGGGACTTCTAGGGGTCTCCTGTTCGCTTCAAAACAGATTTGAGATCAGCGTAAACAATGGAAGCCACTTTTTCTTTATTCTTGTAGTTTTGAATTTAAAAATATTTTTGCCCTCTTCAGGCATTTTGGTAGCACTTTTATTTATTTTTATACATATTTCAATGTGATTATCTAGTTTAGCGTGAGATATAAAGTAGTGCAAGCAGCGTTCGCAAGAATATTCACGTCCATTTTCTTTGCTCAGTTGAATTGAAAGGAGCCTAAACATGTCTTTAATCCGAACGTAATGGTGTCTACTTGGAGCGGTGTTCTCATGTCCTGATTTATTGAAATGATCATGAATCAGTAGCAGGTTGACGTTCTTTCCTTTTTCATCTCTGGTAATGTAGGTCGGTAGAGTAATCAGCTTCTTTCTATTTTGCTTCAATATATAAACATTGATCGACATTCCATTCTGCCGCTCAAACAGGGGTTTTTGATTGACTGTCATCGGGAACTGAAAACCTTTCAGATTGAGAACGGTAGATGGGTGAGGATAGGAAGAAGCTCTGTCGGTATTTACATCGACTGGATACAAAACTGAGATGACTGCAGAAGGAAAACATGCATTATCATCATTTTTAAAGTGATGAAAGCTTGTTACTGCTTGATTTGCGGAGGTAACTCAATGTAGGAGGATCCAAGTTGAAGAGTAAACTTGTTTATGTTCACACCTAGATTGATGATGCTCTTCAATTCCCATCCACTGTCACGCTCCTGAAACTCCTCTAACTCCTTCAAAATAGAATCAATCACTTTCTCATTGAACCATTTGTTGATGTCTGTATTCCTATAGATGGGTGAGTTAGGAGTAGTGAAGTATTAGTAATCAGTCTGTATGAGATCTCCTTACGTATTCGGAAAAGAGCTTTACAATGAATGCTTCAGGGTCCTTATGTTTCACATTTGAGATAACTCCAGTTCTGATGCGAGACTGAAACGCAGATTCTGAATCATTCCAACGAACTCTATTTCGTGCAGTTTCTTTTCTAGATGATAACCCAGCTCCCCCTTCTGAATTGCTTTGAACTGGTTTCTGAAAGTTCTCAGATTTCTGAGGCAAGCCTCTCACCCAAGTTTTTCGAGTACCCCATCGCATTATTTAGTCCCTTCATTCCATTTTGACATTCTCAAAGTCCTTCTGTCACACGATTTCCATCATAGGGGGATGTTTGGAGAACGAGAAGAACAGCAATGTGACGTATCAAATCGATAAAGAGACCAGTCTTCACCATTTTGAGGTTCGTATTCGTATTCGTACAACTATGAAAAAAAAATGCAGTGTGCAATATAAATACACTTGAGGTCCAACGGAAGCCTGAACGCGATCATGAGATGTTGCTAAAGGTCCTCTTGAAATCGAAATTTGTGTCTGTTTCACACCGAATGACTTCACACCAACAAAGTCATTATATATCTATTCATCCCCAGAGAAATGAGGAAGCGTTATTGCGAAATAAAGCAGGTCCTCCATTCAGTTATTCAAATCTGTATATGGGACCCATGGAATTTGGCGGCGCGACACATACACCTGCGGTAGATTTCTCGAAGGAAATACGGTTCTTCGATATTCTTCAGGCATCATTTTCCCCTGAATATGATATATAAAACAAACGAACAACATTATTCATACCTGGCTTTAACGCGGCAACTACCTCCTTTGCAGAGAGGGATTATTGTCACCAAAAAACTTCCCTCGCAAGGGTATCTGACGTGTTTTCTTGCGGAGAAAGTTGACCGTTTCGTTATACTGTCGTACAATATATTCCTGAGAATGGCCCATGTACATCTCACTACCTGAAATTCCACGATGACCTATACCAGTTGGGATTTTCAGTTCATTTTATGAAATGATGTGGAAGGCCCCTCTCAAAATCGAAATTTGTCTGTTACACACCGAATGACTTCACACCAACAAAGTATAGATATCTTTATTCAACCCCAGAGAAATGAGAAAGCGCTATCGCAAAATAAAACAGGTCCACCATTGAGTAACTCATAGCTGTATATAGGACCCACGGGATTTGGAGGCATAACACATACACTTGAGGTAGATTTCTCGGAGGAGATTTGGTTCTTTGATAGGCTTCAGGTAACATTTTCCCCTGAACATGTTATATAAAATAAACTAACAACACTATTTAAACCAGACTTTACTATGGTGACAACCTCCTTTGCAGAAAGGAATTATTGTCACTAAAGCCGACTTACCTGACCTCAACTGGAACATTGACGACCTGAATGAGTTGGCTGCTCAACTCCCGATGCCATATCTAATAGTAGGAGATTTCAACGCTCATAATCCACTTTGGGGTTCCAGTAGACTCGACCCCCGTGGAAGACTTATTGAAACATTTCTCGATGAAAACAATCTAGTATTACTGAACAATGGTGATGGTACATATTTGAATACAAGATCGAACTCTTTGTCATGTTTGGATTTAGCCTTCTGCAGCCCAGTACTTGCCCCATCATTCCAATGGACCTGCCTTGGCGAACATCAGACAGATCATTTCCCAATCACAATCGAATGTGCGGATCGATTTATTTCTCAAATATTGCCCAAACGATGGCAGCTGAAAAAAGCGAACTGGCCTAGATATAGAGAAGATATACGAGAGATTCCTGAAGCCGAACTTGTACTGAATAATGTGGATGATGCCACAGCTATATTAACGGCCACTATATTGAATGCAGCCGAAACATCTATACCAGTATCTAATGGTTTGAGGACAAAGAGATGTGTTCCCTGGTGGAATGATTCTATAGCTGCAGCCACAACAGAGAAAAAAAGAGCATTCAACACATTCAAACGATTTCCAAACAGTGCTAACTTGATTTCTTTCAAAAAACTCAGAGCGAAAGCCAGACGCCTGATCACTGAGAGCAAACGAAAATCATTCGAGGAATACGTTTCCTCCATTACTGCAGACACCTCAACAACGGATGTATGGAGGAAAATTCGATCTATCACGGGAAAAAAGTTCATGGCTACCTCCCAAGTACTTGAGATTGATGGGCAACTGATTGATAATGAAGTTGAAATAGTTGAAACTCTTGCAAACCATTTCAGAGATGCTAGCAGCTCTAGTAATTATGATCTAGACTTTATATCTCACAAAGAGCAATCCGAAATTCATCTAGACTTTGATGAACCTGACATATCTAACTACAATCTACCATTCTCAATGACTGAACTTGAACATGCGCTCTCAGAGGCTAACAATTCTGCCCCTGGACCAGATCAGATCCCCTACGAGTTCATACGCCAACTTCCACCAGACACGAAAGGAATCGTCTTGGGACTATTCAATAAAATATGGGACTCTGGAAACTATCCTGACACTTGGAGTGAAGCCATAATCATTGCCATACCTAAAATCGGAAAAGACATCAAATCACCAACAAACTACCGCCCCCTATCACTTACTTGTTGCCTTAGTAAACTCTTAGAAAAAATGGTTGGTAAACGTCTAATGTGGCATTTGGAAGTCAACAATCTTCTATCCCCAGCTCAAGCCGGGTTCAGGAGTCATAGATCAACACTCGACCAACTGTCTCATCTAGAAGATAGAATCCAAAAGAGTTTTGCAGAGAGAAAACATTTAGTGGCTGTGTTTTTCGACCTTGAGAAAGCTTTCGACATGACCTGGCGATTTAATATTCTTCGATCGTTGCATAACTGGGGTATCAGGGGAAACCTTCCTAAATTCATTCGAAGTTTTTTAGAAAACAGAAAGTTCAGAGTGAAGAATAACCAATGTACCTCAACCCAGCGTCAATTAGAAAATGGTGTTCCACAAGGTTCCACACTGAGTGTTGTACTATTCGCTATCGCTGTTAATAGTCTAACAGATATTCTCAGCCCCACAATTGACAGAAGTCTGTATGTAGATGACCTAGCAATATTCTACTCATCATCGAACATAGATGACATAGAGTCAGAATTACAAGAGGCCATCAATAACTTATCAAGTCGAGCCCAACAGATAGGCTTTCGTTTCTCATAATCGAAAACTCACTGTGTCCACTTTTGCCGATTGTGATCAATTCATAGAAATCCTAATTTGAAGCTCCATGGCAGAAACATAGAATGTAAATCGTCAGTGAGGTTTCTAGGACTAGTTTTCGATAGCAAACTCACTTG